CCCCCCCCAAAAAAAAAAAACAAAAAAACTTTTTTCTGAATGACCTTAAAGGTGATCGGCTTTAAAGAATATGTTTACATATGCATATCGCTGCACTCAGTTGGACTGAAAGTATTAAAAGGAAAAAATAAATAAATAAGTGAAAGAAAGGAAAAAAAAGGCCTAAACATTTGGGGCTAGGCCGTCTGTTCCTTCGAGCCACTGTATTTAAGGTAAAAATGCATACGGTGTGTCCAGATATTACCGAATTGTCGACCTTTGCTTACAAGAAGTAGTCTCTCTGCATAGGATGTGATCTATATCTCTGTTAATTTTAAAATGTGGGGCAAAATTACTGTTTATAGACAACCCAACTGCTTTCCCTGTGCTGCTTTGTAAAAGGACTTTGGCACAAGTGACTTCTGCGACGGCGGGGATTTCATAACGGATTTTACAATGCTAACGTGGTTTGCCTTGGGGAAAAAAACTGGCAAATAGAATCCATGTCACTGATAAGCAAAGGAAACCCTGATTTTTTTGTAAATTATGTGAGACAAGTTGTTTATGGATTTTTATATGAATTACAATTTACTGTACATCAAATATTAGTCTCAGAGGAGTTAATTTATGTAAAGTGTTTAAAAAGTTTATACTTAAAAATAAAACGATAAAAACATGTGAACTGTGTGATTTTTTTAAAAGGATTGCACCTTTTGTTATCTGTTATAGCTGTACAGTATAAATTATTATATTGTAGAGATATAACGACTTATGCCTATAATGTCCAGAAGTGTTAATATTTTTGTATTAGGTTGAAAAAAAATGTGCAACTTTCTATCACTAGATGGATAGGACAGTGCAATCCTAAGTGGGTAGCTAATCAGAGAACTCCTTTCTCTTCTCTTTTTCATCAGGCCAGTGTCCTCAACCTTTATCAACTAAGAGGCACCGTAGAAAACTAAGGCTGGTGGAATGTAGCGGAAGATACAGAAAAAAAAAAAACAAAAAAACGAAACAAAACTGGGCGGGAGAGGTCCTTTCTCGTCCCTAAAAGTCGAGGGGAGTTGATATAATTAACCACAGGGTTTTTACTGTTACCATTCCTTGAAGCTCCATTTCTCGATGGAGGCAAGAGACCACATCAGATGTTCCGGGAAATATTTGTGAGCAGGAAAGGATCTGATGTAGTCATGACCGTAAACATGTGTCTTAAGATCTAGGGAAGATAGCAGAAGCCGAGCAGCGCCGAGAGGGCCAGATGGAGAAGGTCAGGGTCACTCTGCTTGTCTGGGGTTTGGACCATCAGGTCACCAAGAGGGACGCAAAAGGGAGACAAAAAGCTCCCGTGAGCCCCCGTGACCGAACCATCCCAGGAGCTGGTTTGAATGGCAGCCTCTGCTCTGTCTCCGGGAAGCGGGGGGGTGGGGATGGGGGTGGCACATCCAGCTGGACGCGAACCGCCAGCCGTGCCCTCCCGCACACACGTGCGAGTGGGACCGCGCGTGGCCGCCATCTGCCCTTCTGTGCCGGCCCACCGCGCTTGCAAATCTCTTTCGTGAGCACTAAATTCAGCCACAAAAATATTTTTAGAAAATATTTCTCAGTTCATTGAGCTATAGTACACTGTTTTCCTCTATGTATAATGGTGATAAAATATAGCAAGTGAACATGTCGTAAATATAAAGGTTCAAGTGATGTATTGAAAATAATTTTCTAACTGCTTTGTATGTATCACATACTCTAAATTGCACAGTAGGCGTGTTTATTAAACAGATTGGCTGGGAAAGTTTCAAAATAGCTACTGAATTTACAGTATCAGTGCTATTACTGTCTTTGTGTATTTGGTAGAGCATACCGAAGTAATTAATCTTCTAATGAATGCTGATATTTTATTAGAATGAAAGCACAGATTAGCATTAATATTTTTTATCCTGGAAATCCTTTGGCAAGTATTATGAAGCCCCAATTTAGAAAACTATGAGATTTCAAACCACATGAACATGGCTCTGTTTTACAGTTTATTTTTTAACCTGTTAACTTAGGTGTTTGCAGTTCTGTTCCGATGGAATTTCTGCAGGACTGTATTTAGCATGCTGTAAGTACTTTTGGTTAAAATAGGCTCTGAGTCTAAATCCTCAGAAGTGTCTCTGATGTATTGACCATGAAAAGCTTGTACCACATGACAGAAGTGAAATCATAATCTTACCCTCTTCTCGACATGGACTGGTCCTTTACATTGGCACCGATAAATAACAGATTTGGAGTATCTCCTGGTGCTTCTTTTTAGATGAAGTCAAATCAACCCAATTAGTGTCTTGGTAGTAGGTATAATGAGCCTATTTCTTTCTAAAAAGACTTGTGATCTGGACATGCTTTTACAAGAAATAGTGACCTTGGGGAATATGTAAACAAAAGACCTTTTTCTAAGAGTTGCGGGGGTGGGGGACTGGATAATGAAAAGAATTAGCTTACAAAAAAAAAATTGATATTCAAAGTATTTTAGGCACAGCCAGTCAAAATGCTTTCATGATATTTTGAGATGTAAATTTTGTCTGATTTGTATTGTTCTTTTCATTTGCCTTCTTAACTTTATATGTGACCTGAATTTTCCATAACTTGACTATAGATTGCATCTAGGCATTCCAATAAAAGCCAAGCCAATGTGTGTGTGTTTATATATTTTTTTTAAATCTCGGGCTACCCAGCTCGTGTTTCATTGTGGAAATGCAAAAAGATGCAGTTGGGGGATTGATTCGTCCGCAGCCCAGTTGGTAATATCTTTTCTTTGAATTTTTTTTTTTTTTTTAATTTTTCCGTCCACTGGCCAGACTACCAGCTCAGCAGTGTGGACTTCACAGGGGACTCTTCCCATGGCCTACTTTAGAAAAACGTTAACTACACCCCCACAAAGCCCAACATTATCACCGTAAAGAAGAATAAAAAAAAAAAAAATACTGCCCATTACTGCTCGAAAACAGGCCTCGTTCCTGTGATCCTGGCAATAAGTGCTTAATTAAAACACTTGATTAGAATAATCAGTTTAGGCCTGATAGGCTCCCAGCCTCCTGGAGATGTCTAAATCTACATACAGGCCGGCTGATGAGAGAGGATGCTTAGTTCAGCAATTCCAGGCTGGCAGGCCGGGGCTTTGATTTTAGTCTGAAAAGGCGGCTTCATCACATTTGCTTTGTAGTGACAACATGTTGATCCAACAAGAATCAGGTCACTCCGCTTGGCAAACTGGTCTACTTTTTTTTTTTTACTCCTCAAATTAGACTTTAACACGCTCCAACCGGGGAAACCCAGAAAAACACATGCACATTCCTACTTCCGTCTTCTACACGCCTTTCCTTGAAAGCAGCGTCTGAACAAATGCAGAGAAAAGCGCTGTAGGTAAAAATGGCACCTCCGAAAAGAACGTTCTGGGTATGGGGTACGCTGCTGGCACTTCTGTGACTGTCCCATTCGCCAGTTGACATGCATCACCCGTTACCTAACAGTTGCACGCGGTTTCAAGTGCCCGACCCGAACGGAAGCACAACACCTGATTATAAACACCTCCAATCGGCACCAGCCCTCAAGCTCTTGAAGAGACGAGACAGTTTTGCCTGCCCCCCTGCTCTCTGTTCACCATCTTTTCTCTCTTTTATCTTGGTCTGCTCCCAAATGAAGCTGTTTCTCTCACCTGCTGAACAGCAATCTGACTCTGGCCTTTTAAATGAAGGATTCCAAAGAGGCTGACAGCAGCCCACATCATCAGTATTCTGTCTGGAACCACCCGGGCAATCCCAGCACCCAGCTCTCCCCTTGCTTTAAAGCAGGAAATGAGGCCCGGAACAGAGCACAGGCACCACACCTTGGGGGCGGTCAGCCCCTGCAGAGTGGAGCCAGCCCACCCCCGGAGTGGAGGGAGGGGGGGGGGGCCCTGAAGGATGACTTTGCTATTCACTTCGTTCGAGAATACCCAGATTCTATCTCACTCTCCTTTAGAGCAGTGATCATGTGCCAGCACCCCAGGCCAGGCAACACGTCACATTCTAGACGTGGAGCCTGCAGGGACTTAGGAAAGTGTGAGCGTGTTGTTCAAGTTCACAGAAGTGGCTCTGGCCAAGGTGAGCCACGATTTCCTGTCCGCACCCTCCACTGCGTGGGCTCGTCTCCTGATAACACTACCCAGGAGGGCACTGGGGATGCTTCTTAGCACCCTCGTTCCCACAGGGCCCTTAGTCTTTCCAAAGCAGCAGTCATTTAGAGTCGTAACAGACGTTTTTCACCACATAAAAATGCCCCAGGCCCTCTAACAGGGCACGTGTCTTGAATTCCCCTCTGCCTGCCAATATTTCTGGTTCCTCAGCCCCCTCGTCTTAGATAAGAAAGTCTGCTGTGCAGTATGAAAGACTGCATAATTTCTGAAAAGACTTCTAAAAAGAATGACCATTGATTTGCATACATGCACGTGTCAAGCTATTTATCTAGATTTTCCACAAGCTATGCCTCTGGCTTTGGTCATCGGACCAAACCAAAGAAAAAAGAAAAATTGGGGGGGCCTGGGTGGCTCAGTCAGTTAAGTAGCCGACTCTTGGTTTCTGCTCCGGTTACGATCTCAGGGTTCGTGAGTTCGAGCCCCACATCGGGCTCCACACTAACCATGTGGAGCCTGCTTTGGATTCTCCCTCTCCCCCCTCTCTCTGCCCCTCCCCTGCTCGTACTCTCTCTCTTTCTCTGCCTCCCTCTCCAATAAATTAATAAAACTTTTTTTTTTAATTTTTTTTTCAACGTTTATTTATTTTTGGGACAGAGAGAGACAGAGCATGAACGGGGCAGGGGCAGAGAGAGAGAGGGAGACACAGAATCGGAAACAGGCTCCAGGCTCCGAGCCATCAGCCCAGAGCCCGACGCGGGGCTCGAACTCACGGACCGCGAGATCGTGACCCGGCTGAAGTCGGACGCTCGACCGACTGCGCCGCCCAGGCGCCCCAAATTAATAAAACTTTTTAAAAAATGTTCAGAAAAACTAAAATAAAAATTAGTCATAAGTCACGATTACCCATTTTAACCACAGAGTTAAGCCAGATACCAAAGAGGTACTCGTAAGCCATTTGAGTTTTCTACCTCCCACATAATGAATAGCTTCTCTTGCTAAAGTTGCCATTTCCCTTCATCACCTCTGCAAGCAGTGGTCTCTTGATGTCAGTTAATCACTAACAACTTGCAGGTAAATTGAGTAAACCTTTTCATTTATGAACTGTCTTCAAATCCTGTCGTGGAGGAATACGGGATTCCCAGAGTCCCGTGTGCAGAGAATTTACTATAAACCGGTTCTAAACCTAGAGCAACACCACGATTCAGTTTAGCGTTAATGGGTTCCACAAAGCAAATTTAATCAATCCTTTTGGGACCGAAGCTGAGGAAAATTAAAATTAGGAGCATAAGTTGTGACTTCTAGGGCAAGACAGTGGCTTGGTTACACCCTCCCGTTTACTGCTTATAGAGTGAATCGTGAGCTGGGCCTGCATTTAGGGAGGGAAACGGCTTCCATTTACTTGCGTGCACGATTTCCTGAATTCCACCCACAACGGCTCTTTCTGTCCAGGGCAACTCTCACCGCGTACAACGGACAGGATTTACAAGTGGCCCACTGACTGGGTCAAAAGGGATTCCTGAACATTTTCACGAGCTAACTTGTGAGTGTGGGTGTGAGGGGAGCATAAATACCCAAGGAGTTACAACGACAAGTTCTGTGGGATCAAAAGGCTGAAAACGGAGCCACCCGGCGGAGGTCTGGGAGGACGCACACCAAAGGCTCCTTTCAACCTGGCCTTTCCATCACGAAAGTGATTAATGACCTTCACCTAGGTGAAGAAACCACCCTATCCCAAATTTTCCTTCAGAATTAATGCCAGGGAGAGTCTGGTCTACAAAAAAGTCATCCGGGACTCCTGTCTCTACACACATGAGGCCCTTTGCTCTCACGTGCCTTCTCTCTCTCTCTCTCTCTCCTCTCTCTCTCACTGGTTTTACCCTCATAGAAGCTCTCTGGGCTGAAACCCTTCAACTTGTATCTACACACGTATCTTTCTCAGGCTTAGAAGGAAAACCATGCACCGCCCTGCGGTAGGCCACATTGACTTTAAATAATTGCCCAGGACATCACAGGAAACTAGAGTCTCTTGTCCCCACCCTCCTTAACAAAAGGTTATAAACAAGCAGATGTTTATGACCTCCTCACTTCAGCTATGACATTATTTCTAGGGTCGACCTGTAGCGGGAGAGAGGGGGGAGGGGCTGGGGTTGACAAGTGCGGCTGCAACGCGCAGAGAAGATGCTCTCCCGGAAGGAGAGTCGTGCTCAGGGCCCTCGGGGAAGCCGGGAAGCTCAGGGCCCGTGGGAGGGAGCGGAGGAAAGAGCGTCCTTCCGTAGGTTCCCCTCCAGCTCAGGGCTGCCCTCTGGTCTTTCCCTCGAACCTCCGGGGCTCTGGCTCCTGCGGAAATGAAAAGCCGGGCCAACATCTGGTGGCACAGTGGGGAGGGCCTTGAGGACGCCTTCTTCTCCTTCTCCTAAAATCCCAAGGAGGGTCCGGGTCAGGGAGGACGTGGGGCCAAGGGCTCCTCCCGCACCCACCCTCCAGGTTAGTGCGGCTGCCCCGGCACTTTCGGGAAGGGCTCCAGCGCCCCCTAGTGCTGCGCATCGTTGGTGAAGACCGTGACCGAAGCCCCAGCCGCGGCGCCCAGACCGGAAACGAAGAGGCAGCCACCCCTCCCCCGTCCCCCTCTTCTCCCTGGTTAGGCCGATTCCAATTATCCTCCGTTTCCCCGTCTTTGCCCTGCCCGGAGTTTCACACATAAAACGATTACATCTGCTTCATGCACTACCTCACCGAGGCCTGGTCCTTGCAAAATTGCTCCCCGAAGATTTCCCTTCACGTCAGGCAGAAACTTTGTCAAACAATGTTCTTCTTGCTTGGCAGATCAAAATAAGGCCCTTCCTCCCAGGAATTGTCCGCGGGCTATCTGAGTTTTGCAGCCGCCCCCACCCCGAGCTATCTCATTGTTTCCCTTATACTCTCCGTGTTTGAACTGTCCTGCTGCCGGGAAGAATTTCCCTGAAGGACAGGATGGATCATTTAAATTCAGATTCAGAGTGGCCGCTTTATTTCTGAGGGAGCCCGGCTCTCACCGTAAGTGCTAGAGTGACATCCTGGAAAAGTGAACTCCCTCCAGATTCACTGGGCCGCAGGGGCCTGAGCAGGGCCTCTGGCCCCTCATCTTGGCCTCAGCGGTGGGGACAGCCATCTCCTTCATCTGACCAGCCCTGCAGCGGCCATGGGCAGGAAAGATGGGGATTCGGCCTTCTGTTCCCTTGTCACCCAGAGAAGGCGATGGTTGCCACTTTTTTTTTTTAATGTTTATTTATTTATTTATTTTTGAAAGAGAGTGCGAGAGGGGCAGAGAGAGAGAGAGAGAGGGGAGGTGGAGAATCCCAAGCAGCAGGCTCCACAGCTGTCAGCACAGAGCCTGACGTGGGGCTCGAACTCCCAAACCGTGAGATCATGACCTGAGCCGAAACCAAGAGTTGGAGGCTTAACCCACTGAGCCCCCCGGGTGCCCCCCAGGGATGCCACATTTCAATAGCAGCCTGAACTCTGGTGTCCTGCCTTCAGAAATGGCCCCTGCGAGAGCCCATCCTCATTTTTGGAGGCCCGTGTGAAACCAACAGCCCCCATCCCCGACCCGAGTCTCCGTGGAAATGAAAAGACCAAGGCTGGCACATTAAAGCCAAAACATCACCTTAAATGACGACCAAGTTGAAGAAAGTAGCTTCACAGAAGTAAAACAGGCTGCCATCCAGATACCCCGCCCCGTTTCCCCAACAGGCCCCCTCCTGGTGGGGCGGTGAGGCCCCCATTCTCCCCATGAGCCAAGAACGCCTAGTTCATTCTCCCCAACTCCCCAGTAAGGGTAAAGCTCCTCTCCTGCCCTCTGGAGGGCTGGAGTGATGGGGAGAGAGAAACCAGGCATGGGATCTCACACGCACACACACACGCACACACACACACTCACACACAGGTGCCCACACCCCCTTAGAGTCACCGGGGAGGAGGAATCTTGCACATCTCAGGACCCTTGGGTTTACCTGACTCTGCCACAAATGGCTTGTGGCCTCCAGCCAGGTTATACCAACCCTCTGGGCCTCTGACCAGCCCCTCCTCGCTGCTCTAACACCAGTGGATGTACTTGCCAGCCGCTTGGGAGACCACTCCCAAAACACAAGCTCTCGCCCTGTGAGCAGACCCCAGCCCTCCGCATAAGGAGACCCTCTTTTCATAATTCCCCTCCTGGCTTCACTCCCAGCCGCCAGCCCCCCCACCGCCACAGCCACACCCCAGGGACCACGATTCTCTCTGGGGGAGGAGAGCCAGGGTGCTGGCTTTTGAGGAGGCAGTTACTCCCCAGTCACTCTGCCGCTTGTTAAGATGGGGACGCACACTCGCCCCGCTCTTGCAAATCACAGGGAAACGGGACCAGCCTTGCCGCAACTCGGGGCTCTTTGGGCGGCCTCCGCCAATTAATGCTCTAGTTAATCAAACTTAGCAATTCCCCGGAGAGGCAGCACGGCTGGGAGAAAGCTCGGAGCGGCGGAGAACCGCCTGTTAGTCCGGACTCGGCCCGGTCCAGGCGAGGCCATCACTGCTGTCTCTGCTCCTCAGGCTTCCCCATCTTTAAAGCGGGCCTAGACCTCTGCCCCTGAGCCACTACGTCCCATCCTCCCATGCCCTAACTCCTGTCCGTGGTTAACACCGAAGAGTGTCTACCTAAATGAATACCTTGGTTTCTTGCTGTGGTGAAGAATGGAGAGAGACGCCTGACACCCAGGCAGGAAAGCATCAGGTCTCCCGGAATGTCCCTGGTTATGGGTCCTCTCCTCTCCAGGTACCACAGCCATCACGGAGGGGGTTGCCAGCTGGGCAGATGGCTGTCAGGAGGGAGCTGGGAGGAAGGAGCCCCCCCCCCAGGGCCCGCCATGCCGGCACCCCATCTCCTTCCCTGGGAACCCCACCACAGGGAAGCCAGAGGGGACCCCACAGAGGGCAAGAGCCTGAGGATCCGCTGAGAACCCTCGTCCCATGGTTTGCAATGGTTTTTATGTGTGGATCTTGACGCCAACAAAACCTCACAGGAAACCGAAACAAAGGCCCAGCTGCTCAAATTGAAGTAGGCGTCCTACACGTGACAATGGAAGGGCCCAGAAAAGAAAGGCCCCTGTCCTCTAGGATTTCATGTCTAGTTGGGAGGCAGACGCGGATTCTTTCTAAACAGAGTGGTGTTTGCTGTGGACCCCAGTTCTGCCTGGGGGAGTCCGGCAGCTTCCGGGAGGAGCTGGGACCTGAGCAGCAGGTAGGAAGTATACACAGTAGAGGGCAGGCAAAGGTCAAGGTACAGGCTCCAGATCCAGTCTGCTTGGGTCTCCCAGCTCTGCTGAGTAAGAGCTGCAGAAACTTCGATGGGTTACTTCACCGTCTGTGCCTGTTTCTTTTTTGTAAATTGGGGATATGGCTCCATGGGGGGTGGGGGGGTCGCTGTGAGGCTCCGTGAACTAGCAGGTGTCCAGAGCTTGGAACTGCACCCACCTAGGTTCAGTGCTCCATGTGACCTATGCTGCCTGCAGCCAGGCTCCCGAGGGGCGGGGTCGCCCCTAAGGCCCAGTGCCCCTGGCCCTCCCTGCTCTGGGGCAGCACAAGGTCAGAAACCCACCGCACAGGCAGTGGGGGTGAGTGCACGGGGCACCAGCCCGGGCAGGGCTGGGCTGCTGAGTGCCCGTCATCAGGATCACTGCCAATGGTGCAGGTGCATGATGGCCCCCACGACAGGAGTCTCGGACATGTGGCCCCCGGGCTTCCTTCAAGGCTTTTGCCACCCCCACCGGGCTGGGAACTGGCCCGAGACCCAAGGCTGGACCGCAGGAGCTGGGGCCGTAATCCCAGTCTGCCTCAGTACGATGTCTGTGCCCCTCCCAAGCACCTGGCTGCACTTGACATCCAGGCTCCGAGGTCACTGTTCGAGGCCCCAAGCCTCTTCCGGTCCCCGCCCACCCCCTCGAGGCCACGACGTGCTGGACACATCCTGAGACCCAGCTAAGTGGACTTTCTGCCATTTCCCAAGAAACCCCATCCCTTCACGCCTCTGTATCTTCGCACGTGGTGCTTATATCCCTTCCCTGGCTGGGCCTTGGCCCCCTGTGCTGGGCTCCTCTCTACACGGGCACCTGCTTGGTGCACCAGAGCACAAATCCAGATCTGATGGGTGCACTGTGCCCTGTCCGAGCCATGAGCTGGTCTGGCTCCTTGGCCCCCATAAGGCCCGGGGACGGTGCTATTCCCGGGAGGGCTGGGGGTTCGAAAAGCACCCCCATATCTGTGTTCCAAACACGTGGTGAAATCCCAAGTAGCTGCCGTTCTGTGAAACATCCAGAATGCCAATCCAGAACATTCGCCCTTATTTCAAAAAATAAACTTTAAATTTTCAAGCATCAGCCATTTAACGGGGTAGAAAGAAGTGGTTTAAATTATCGAGTAACTAACGAACAGTTCAAAGTGAAGTGGTAACATTTAAGGGGCTCCCGTGATGCCAACAGCCACGAGCCACGGGGCGTGAGGGACACGCGGGCCACACAAAGCAGGAACCCCACGCCTCCTTCTGCCGCCGTCCGTGAATTGGGGTCTGTGGGTTCGCGCTGGGCTGCGGGTGCCTTCTCTCCCGAGGCCGGGCCCCTCTCGGTGTGGCTCCCTCCTTCCTCACCTCACCCCTCTCCCTCGGCTGGCCCTATTAGGGAGACAGCAAAAGCAGACTTCGTTGTTGCCACCGAAGTGGAACAGTATGATGTCCTGTTTCCCTTGTTTAAAGTCGGTAAATAGGGGCAAGTGGGTGGCTCAGTCAGTCGAGTGGCCGGCTCTTGACTTCATCTCCGGTCACGATCTCAAGGTTCGTGAGTTCAAGCCCCACATCGGGCTCTGTCAGCACAGAGCCTGCTTGGGATTCTCCCTCTCCGTCCCTCCCTCCCTCCCTCCCTCTCTCTCTCTCTCTCAAAATAAATAAATAAACTTAAAAAAAAGTTAGTAAATAAAAATGTTATGCTTCTCTAAAACTGGGCAAAAGGGTGCATGGCACTGCTTCTGAGCACAGGACTGACCGAAGACCGACCAGGCTTCCCGGGGCCCCCTGACGGCCCCGGCAGGCATCCAAACTCCCCCACATCCCTCTGGTCCTCACTCACGCCCAGCAGGCAGGAGCCGGGAAGAAAGAGCTGCCCCGCACCAGGATAAAGAGCCCCCTGGACCCACCATGCCAGCGCCCCACCCCCATCTCCGTCCCTGGACAGGTCCTCGCAGGAAGCCAGAGGGAGGTCCTGCGGGGGGACAGAGCCTGATCACCCTTGGAGGCCCCTCACCCCTTGGTTTGCAACGGATTTTAGCTGTGGGTCTTTATGCCAGTTAAACTCCTTCCTTCTCATGGACCGGGCACTGAGGGGGCACAGAGAGCCAGCTGCAGGGAACCTGTCCCATCCACACGGCAGGACAAGTTAAACTACTTGGTGGGGGTGGGGGTGGGGGCGGGGGCTCGGATTCATTCTTCCACCTAGGGTTTGGAACGCTTGAAGGAGAAAAGTCAAGGTAACGCCACCAAGCGTGGGCCAGCTTTCCCCTCACACTGGCACAGGCCCTTCTGTTCTTGCCGTCTTGCCTCCAGTCCCCTCAGGGCCAGAGTTCCTGGAAGGAGTCTCGCTCTCAACGCCTCACAAGGACACCTCTGTTCCTGAACAATCTCACTTTTCCTTCTGCTGCTGCCACAGGCGTTTAACATCTGGTCATCAAGGTCATTGCCTTCCTGGTCCCCTCCTCCTTGCTTGCCCTCCCTGCCGTGCGGGTTCACTCCATAAGCTCCTCCTTCAACCCCTCCTCGGCTCTGGCACCCGGACCCTCGACTCCCCCCATCCCCTGCCTCTCTAGGGGACCCCTTCGTCTGCTGCTGTCCCCAGTGTGGGCTTTTCCCGGGATCTGTCCTCAGCCTCCCCGCGCTTGTGGCCTCTCCCCCGGGAAGGGGGTACGGGGGGGGGGGAACACCATCCCCTCTCTCCTATTTCAGCACATTTCACCCTTCCAAGTGGGCTTCGCCCTTGGATCTCTGTAGAGATCTCGAGAGAGATGGGTTTTCTCCAGCGCCCTGTGGTCCAGGAAGGGAGAGAACGGAACTCTGCCTGCTGCAGGCTGTGGCCACGTTACGACATCCTGCTAAGCCAGCGTTTCTTACCGTCCGCTCGCAGAAACACCTGCCGTGCTTGGTGCATGCCGGACCGGATCTCACCTCCACAGAGATCCCTACACAACAGGAGCGCCTGGGGGGTTCAGTCGGTTAAGCTTAGACTCTTGGTTTCTGCTCAGGTCATGATCTCACGGTTCGTGAGTTCGAGCCCCATGTCAGGCTCTGTGCTGTCAGTACGGAGTCTGCTTGGGATTCTCTCTCTCCCTCTCTCTCAGCCCCTCCCCACTCTCTCTGTCTTGAATGAAAGGAAGAAAGAAAGAAAGAAGAAAGAAAGAGAAGAAATCCCTGCACAATAGATATATTATTATCTCCCTCTTTAAGCTGCGGAATCTGAGGCCCAGAGAAATAAAGTAACTTACCCAAAGTCACACAGCTCACAGATGCCAAAACTACAATCTGAACCTGAGCAGCTCTGACAAGATCTAAACTAGATGTGATACAAAGGTTAAACATGGCTCAACACTAAATACTCAAGAAGTATTCTGAGAGGACGGGTCAGACACCAGGCCCTCAGTCCCTCTCCTCCGGGCCCTCTTTCAGAACAAGAAAGTGGTCACGAAACCCAAGGTAGATCGGACTATCTCCCCACCTTACAGATGAGGAAACTGAAGCTAAAAGAGCTTTGTTCTTTTTTTTTTTTTAATTTACTTATTTATTCTGAGAGAGAGAAAGCACAAGGGGGGGAGGGGCAGAGAGAGAGAGAGAGAGAGAGAGAGAATCCCAAGCAAGCTCCACACCGTCAGCTCAGAGCCTGACTCAGGGCTTGAACTCAGGAACCACAAGATCATGACCTGGGCGGAAGTCGGGTGCCCAACCGACTGAGCCACCCAGGTGCCCAGAAGTGAAATGAGCCTTAGCCTGAAGCAGGGCCAGAGTGTGACCTCTGGTGCGGGAGGCCTCCTGTCTCCGTGGTGATGCACTGCTGACCCCAGACGCTAGACCCGGTGGGGTCACTCGTGCTTGTGTCCCCGGCTTCCGAAGCGCTGTCAGGCAGGTCACCAGGCTCCGCGTTCGCTAAACAGGTGACCGAGCAATGAAAGAATGAACTACCTCATTCCCCGACGTGCCCCTTCTGTCGAGGAGCCCCAGGAGGCCTCCTGGCCAGAGCTCAGGGCCCCCCGGGCCCAGGAGCCAGGGCCCTAACCACCCCTGAGGACTCCAGAACTGCTCTTTATCCAGAGTTAGGCCCCTTCCTTTGCTGCGCGGGGGCGCCCAAGTGTGACGCCTACGGACCCACACTGCGCACTCCCCTCGCCGTGACAGCAGGCTTCTTCTCGTGAGTGCTGTTCGTGACAGATCCGCCCTCGCCCTGAACCCTGAAGCCCTGGGCCTGTCCACCGACAGGTAAATCCGATGGCACCTATGGACACGGGCGGTCCCAGCCCCCAAGGCAGATGGACGGTCTTCCCTGGGATGTGGGGTGTCTCTGAAGCATGCTGCACCCTATCAACAATCCCTCTTGGAATGTGACCAGCCCCCCGCGCCCCTCTCTGCCTGCGGACATCCCACCACGCTGCCAGCTCGGAGCCTCTCTTTCAAGCTGCTCCTTCTCCTCCTGGGATCCGTTTTTGGCAAATGGCCCCACAGCCCTCCTGGAACGCAGGCTTGTGTCCTCAGCATCGCCTTGACCCCGTATCCAAATCAGTTACCAAGTCCTACAGATTCCTCCCAAACGGCTGGGCCGCCGGCCCCGGCGGTGTCCTCTCGGCCACCTTCCCCCCTCCCCCGACCCCCGAGACCCCGTGCTCCGGCCAGACCCACTGGCAGCTCCCCACCTCACGGTGCCTTTGCCTGACAATTCCGGGTCCTGAGATTTCCGCACAACTCCGCCAGCTGG